GGTAGCTGATGGTGGTAGTGGCCGTGTGCAAGCTTCCCTTCCCCCCACCCTGCCCTGTCATTCTTTACAGGCAATTCACTAGTAATAATATAATAAGAGCAAGTTTTATACAATGCATCAGAAGACCTTAAAATGGTTTACACATGACGTATGATTATCTCAAATGTTTTACAAATAGGGAAACTGTAACAAAGAGAGGAAAGACTAAGGGATCTGGACCCCTTCAGCCTCTGCAAGAGAAGGCTGAGAGGTGATCTCGTGGCCCCCTACAAATTCATTATGGGGGTGCAGCAAGGGATGAGAGATGCTCTGTTACTTCTTGGGGTAACAAGGAACAATGGTCACCAACCGACAGAGAGCAGATTTAGGCTGGACATCAGGAAAAACTTCTTCAAGGTAAGGGTGGCCAAAATTTGAAATGGGCTTCCAAGGGAGGTGGTGCTCTCCCCTACCTTGGGGGTCTTTAAGAGAAGGCTGGATAGGCATCTGGCTGGGGTCCTCTGACCTCAGCACGCTTTCCTGCCTAGGCAGGGCATTGGACTTGATGATCTGTTGAGGTCCCTTCTGACCCTAGCATTTATGAATCTATGAAGAAGATGACATGACTTCCCAAGGTCACCCAGCAGGCCCACAGTGGGTCTACATCCCAGCAACAACTTGAACTCATTTCTATTATCTGTCATGCAAAGCAACTGATCAAACATCAGGTAAGCAGCTCCATAAGTAACAATAGAAGAGAAATGTTAAAAGCATCCCAGTATTCAGATCTCCACAGAATAAGGCCATCATCTCCTTAGTTTCAGAAAAAAGGAAACCCTTCTGTCTGGTATCCAAGGTTTTTTTAATTGAAATGTGAAATGTTAATAATTTGGGGAAGTAATTATACCTCTTGTATGAGAAACCACAAGCAGATGTCTTTCTGAATGGATGGTAATCCTGTTGTTTGAATATTCTTGTGTGGACATGAACACATGCGTAGCACATGAATCCTACTTCATAATGCATCATAGTCCATCCTTTTAGCCATCAGCCCAAACTGTCTGACCTTATTAGCAGAGGAGATGAGAAGAGAAAGGAGCAAGGAGGAAAGAGAGATACGTATCCTATCCCAGTGCAAAAATCAAATCAGGATCCTGGAGAGCTTTGGGACTATGTGGAAGGGAGGCCTCTGCAGGGAATAGTTATATGCTAGTTTATTGCTTTTAAAATCATTGAGACATCTATGTTAATATGAAGGGTGATGAGCCACAAGAAGAGGAACCTGTAGGGAGTAATGTCTAATTCTTTCTCCCATATGTCCACTGAGTACACCATCCATCATTTCCTTGGTAGGAGCAGGTCTATACTCTATTGCTCCATGTTGCTGTTTAAGCTGTCACATTGTCAAAACTTACGGAATTAAAGACCCAGTGAGACTTTCCTACCTCTGCACCATCAAAACGGAGGGCCCAGAAGGATCTCAAAGGACAAGCTGAGCAAATAAGCTGTTTGGATGTTTTTGCAAGGCAGGATCTATGCTCTTAGTCTCCTCTTGCCAGAATGCAGAGTTACATCACAATGCCCTGTGAGGGGGCATCACTGTTCCTATAGCAACAGTAACACCACAAGGAGGAGATCAAGAGTGATGGGCAAATGGAAAATGAGGCATGCCATTTATATGTGGTTCCCACACCTCCAGCGTGGAAAGATAGAAGCTGCAATAAGGCTTCCTCCTACCTCGGGAGGGCAGAAACACAGCTGCAACGTGGGTTTTTTTGTTTTTTTTATTAGAACCTTGCATACCTCAGGTGATCATAACCACAAGGCTGGTTATTGCTGCCTGGTCCTTCTTTTCCTGTGTTTCATATATACTAAACTCTTTCACACTCCATTTCCCCCCCAGGCCTTTTTAAATAAGTCCAGATCCTGTTGATCTTAAGCCACACAAATAACCCTACTTAATTTGTTATGTAATGTGTTGTCTTATCAAAGCAAATGGGACATATGTATCATGTTGTAGCCTCTTTTATGAAGAATATCACTAATAACTGAGCATACTATTTGAACAAACAAATCTGCCTCTACAACAACATTGTGAGATACGAAAGCATTATTTTATGGATGGTGAATGAGAGGCACAGAGCTGTGAGGCGACTTTCAGGAAGTCAGTGGAAAATCCAGGTATAGAACCAGTATCTCCGCAGTTGCTTTTCCATGGGACGAGAGAACACAAATCAAGATCAGGTCTCTGCAGGAAAATCTCTCCTGCCTAGGCTAAGGCAAAGACAATAGGGCAGCATGAGAATTAGCACCTAAGGGGGAAGAAGGTAAAAGATGAGAGTGAACAGTTACTTGGGAACTTAATGTAGGTCCATCTGGTTGTGTAGGTTAAATGAATGATGCTCAGTATTTTTAAAATTTGTTTCTATATATGTGCCTAAAATACATAGATATGTGCCTAAAACACACATACATACACATCTATTTACGTGCCTTACACACATGTACATACACGTCATTCATTTCTGAGCTGAAATGAAGTTGTTTTCTGGTTATCCTCTGTAACTTGCTGTAGTTTCCTCCTGAACATGCATTGGGTGCATCTACACATTCACCCAACTGTGCAGTTGTTACTGTGCAGTCATTTATTATTTGCTTTAGCATATACTAAATGATCGCGCAGTAACCACTGTCACTACACAGTCCCAGCAGCGCATGGGTCGTTTCTGTCCCTACTGTGCAGTAGCAACAAACTACTGAGCAGTAGCTTGTTGCTACTGCGCATTAGTTTCAGGGTCATGGTTCATGCCTGCCAATGCTACGTCTCCATAGTGATGAGCTACATTGCTGTAGCTCATCGCTATGGGAACGTAGCGCCTCATATAGATGTGCCTATTACCACATTTATTGTTGTAGGACCAGATCCTGAAGCTTTTACTCATACCAGGTAAAATTTGTACTGGTTGACTGGGATTTGTGTGAACAATGACTATTTATGTCAGAACCTGAACCACTCCCGCACTGCCAAATTATAGGGCTGAATGATAGGGTGTTGGGAGCTGGATCTGGCCACGCTCAACCAGATATGGTTGAGACCCCCTGTTCTAGCCCATTTACTATCTTTGTCCTGCCCATCTCTTGCTACTGTGAAATTCTTCTGTGTTTTCACAATGATTGGAATGCTCTGAGTTCATGACTTTAAACAACTGTAAGCAAGTATGAGAGCTCGCCGTAGTGAATTCAGTAAGATTACAAAAGACTGGTTATTTGGCTACAACACATCTAAGCAGAAAAGGTGGGATAATGGAAGCTTCCCCAACGTATTCAACACATTCAGAGCACCCTACGTAGGGCTGAGATACTACATTCACAACCATACTCATGAGGGAGAAAAAAGACTGGAAGAAGAAACCAACTGGAGAAGGGTGATTGCATAAGGAATCTAGGCATCATTGGCTAGCCACGGGAGACAGAAAACATGTACAATTTATGTAGCTGAGGGTTTACTGATGATTTCCTGACTAGTTCTAGGGATCTGTAGTGGGTTATGTGCATGGCCTAAATCAGGGCTAGACCATTCATAGTGTTTACTGGGTTCAGTAAAGACAGACAGGCCTGAATGAGAACTAAATTACTTTTATTGTGGAGCAGTGGCAGGCTAGTCTCTGCAGTCCCCTGGTCCCTACCCAACCAACTGCTCTTCAGTCAACCAAGGGGTCATCTCCCAAATCCCAGCATCCTGAGCTTTCCACTTGAGGGATTCTTTCTGAATTATAATGCCATTGTGGTGGTCTCAGTTTGAGTCCTTCTGGCACAAGTACCTGACAAATGTCTATCCTTTTGCCTAATGAGCTGAGCTGGGCACAGTGATCAGGGGCTAAGGGGAGGCAGGACTGGCCCCAGTTCAATAGCCTGGGGAAGTGGATGCCTTGCACCAAGTTAAGTAGTTAACATAGGTTAAGGAGTTAGCATGTATTAAGCAGAGGCCTGGAGGAAGGGGGCATAATGGGGAGGGGGCTGAAGTAAACACTGGCCAGCATGGCAGTGAGGCTGAAGTTGGTTCCTTATTCCCAGTTCCTTATTCCTGGTTCCTGTTTCATTTTTCAAAGCTAATTTTTACACAAGTCAAGATTGTTATTAATAAATTAGATGTGCTAAAGAGTTAGAATTTCATCAGAAATATATGTTTACTAATAAAAATGTAAAATAATATCATATATCAACTACATAGCCCTGAATAAAGAGCTAAAATTAGGCTGGGATTATAGGCAAAATCCTTTTTGGGTCACTTCAAACCACACATCTCCACCACCAGGGGACTTTTTTGAAAAACTCTTGAGCAGGGCAGTACCTGATCCAGAGCTCTGCTTTTGCATGCCAGCCTGCCAACTTGCAGCCCCTCAGACCTGTGTGCTATGGTCAATGCCCTGAATAAAATGTGGTTGGGCTGGGATTACGGGTGAAAATCCTTTTTGGGTCACCGCAAACCACATGTCTCTGCCACTGGGAGATACTCCTGAAGAAGCCTGACTCAAAACTCAGTTTTTGCATGCCTTCCTGCCAATTAACATCTCTCCACCAAGGCCTATGTGCTATGGACATAACCCTGAATAAGGAGCTGAGTTTGGGGCCGGATTGCTAGGCAAAATTGTGTTAGAGTCACCCCAAAATACTGAGGAACTGTCCTGGAGAAGTCTGGGCAGGCCTCTGCCTGACCCGAAGCTTGGCTTTCAAGTCCCAGTCTGCCATCTGACAGGACCCTAAACCTGTGTGCTGATCATTGGCCCAAGTAAGGAGCTGAGTCTGGACTGGGATAAAAGAAAAATCCATTTTAGGTCACCCCAGGCCGCATATCACTGTTCCTGGGGGACTCTCCTGAAGAAATCTGAGCATGGCACTGCCTGACCTGAAGTTTGGTTTTCAAGTGCCAGCCTGCCAAGTGCCGGCCCCCAGGGCCTGTGTGCTAAACATTGCCACGAATAAGGAGCTGTATTTGGGCTGGGATTATGTGGGAAAACCTGCTTTGGGTCACCATAAAACACATCTCTGCCACCAGGGGACTCTCCCTAAAAAGACTGTGCAGACTCCTGTCCTACCCGAAGCTCAGTTTTTGAGTGCCAACCTTACAACCGATAGGCCTGTGTAAAAAATACACTGCCCCAAATAAGGAGCTGGGTTTTGGATCCCAGCCCAAACTCAGCTCCTTCGTCATGGAAATGCAGCTAGCACACAGGCCTGTGGGGCTGCCAGTTAGTAGGCCGGCACTTGAAAGCTGTGCTTTGGGTCAGGCAACACTCCTTCAGGACAGTCTGCTGGTGATGGAAACATTTGTTCTGGAGTGATCTGAAAAAGATTTTGCCTGATAATCCCAGTTCAAACTCAGCTCCTTATTCGGGACCACATACCTAGCCCAGGCCTGGGTGGAGGGGTGGCAGTCAGGCATGTGAAAATGGAGCTTTGCATCAGGCAGCGTCCTGGCCAGGCGTCTTCAGGAGTCTCCAAGTAGCAGAAATGTATGGTTGGAGGTGACGTGGAACGGGTTTTCATCCATAATCCCAGCCCAAAAGCAGATCCTTATTTGGGGCACCGTACATTGCAGGCTGGCATGTGAAAACCAAGTTTAGGGTCAGGCTGGCACCTGCTCTGACTTCTTCGGGAGAGTCCCAGGGGCACAGAGACATATGGTTTGTGGTGAGCAGAAGTGGCTTTTACCCCGCAAGCTCGGCCCAAACTCAGCTCCTTACTTGAGGCCCCCCATTGCACCCAGGTGTGGACTGGCAGGCCGGCGTGTGAAAATCCAGCTTGGGCCCGGCCCCGCCCTGGCCGCCTTCTCCAGAAGGGCCGTCCCGAGAGCGGTGGCTTGGGGTGACCCAGAAAGGATTGCGTCCCCACGATCCCAGCCTAACCTCAGCTCGTTACTCGGGGCCGAGCGCGACGTTATTTACACGTGTATCAGTGCGCGCGCGGTTCTGGTGAGAGCCCAACAACTCTGCGGCGTGTCTCAGCCGCTGCGAACAGGCGCCACC